TCCTGTAGCACTTCAACCAACCAGAACTCCTTTTGAACACACTCAAGGAAAATGCTCCTGAATTAGATACTTTACACTGATTAAGGTTCATTAAATTGCTGAGAAGGAGACAACCACTGGAATATTACAAGTATATTATAAACATAATTACTGTAGTAGTTGACTTTTAGAATCATCTTTTTTTTTCTGCTCTTGAGGTATGAAATATATTTTCTTCCTAGGTGCTGTTGAAACACTTAAGACTTAAGGAGCTCCATTTATTTCAGATTATTTTTCTTTCCTCGTGATCATATATTTCCTATTTTATTTACTTGAAGTGAGTACTAACTTGTCACATACATGATCCCCTTCACCTCTAACAACCTGTCAAAACAGGAACTGCAACAGTTATATTCTTTGACTCACTGTTTCTGCTTAAACATTCCTAAGGTGTAGTTTCTTGTTATGTTTTAGGTGTGCTTCTGCCTACAAATATGACCTGACCTCTCCTCATCTCGTTCTGTTCCAATGCCTGTTCGGTGGAGTAAAGGGAATGTATAATTTTATTCAGCCTCCAAGACTTTTTCCTTTTCTCCTAATCCAGTGTGATACATGTGTAAAGAAACTGAATCTGTCACCTTTACAGTGGAAGCACTGCCTGAATGAGCTCTGGGTCCACATCCACAGCTTTGTGACTTGAATCATCAGATGGACAGTGCATTACCATCATGGATGACAAGAGACCTGATGCCATTCAACAGTGATGCAATTTGCTGACAGAAAATAGCAATGCTTCATAAGGGCTTACCACAGAATTTACAGGGAACTGAGTGAAAAAGGCAGCCTGTAAAATCTGAGCTAAAGGAGCATGACGGAGAAATGATACGTACTCTCTTAATTAAATGCTGATGCACCCCATATGCATTTTGAATATTATCACTCACACCTCTATGCCACATTGTTGCCTGAAACACTATAGTTTTCTTTAATAACCTGATTTCTCTTATTTCCCTGCATTTGCTTTTGCCAGGTGGCTCACTAATTCCATTTTTGGTCAGCCCTTTTTCACCCTGCTTGCTTAATGGCCTTCTCTGCCTGCTTCTGACCTAGATTCCATTAAAAACATGTCTGTAGAAAGTACTTTCATGTGATGCTTTCAAGTTAAACATCACACAAAATAAACCTCAGGTCTAAATTGAGTCCAGACTACTGAGTCTGATTTGAACACTGATAAACTAAAGTTTCTCTGAGAAGAGCTCAAGTTTCTCTTCTGGATTATTGCCCATCTCCAGTTTTTGAGGTTTGCTGTTGTCCAAGAAAACTGATATTTTTGCTGCTAACAAAATGTAACCAATAAAAACCAATATACAATTTTCATGGTGTTATCTGTGAGAAAATTACTATGTTTGTTCAGCTGCTACATATTTTAACTCTTAGCTTCATAAAGTAGGTCATTTATTCCAGCTTGATAGTTATTATAAAAAAATAAGCATCATAGAACTTCAGGAAAAGGAACAGTCTCCAAGGGTGCAATTCAGACGAGTGCAAAAGTATCACATCAGTCCCAGTTACTTATCCCAGTGTGGTGCTGCAGGAACCCATTGATAGCAGTATCTACCTACACAGCTCTGAAATCAGTAAAATTCTTTCTGTGGCTATTATTATAATGCAGGAACCAAAGCAAAAAGAAAAGAAAGCTCCTAAATGGATCTTTAGTTTTAAAATTTATCAAGTATTCTGATTGTGAAAGATAAACCTAATTACTGGTGCAACCCTGTCTTTCTCAAGGTCAATCCCAGAACTACACAACAGTCCAAATATACTAACTTTTGCCCTATCATCTATTTGGACTTCTGTAAGGCCTTTGACATGGCATCCCGCATGTTCTTTAAATTGGAGAGAGATAGACTTGGTAAGTGGACTGCTTGGGGGATGAGGAATTGGTTGGATGGTCGCATAGGAGGAGGGACAAAGGTTTTAAACTAAAAGAAGGGAGATTCAGACCAGATAGAAGGAAAAAAATCTTTACAATGACGGTGGTGAAACACTGGAACAGGTTGTCCAGAGAGGTGGTAGATGCATCATCCCTGGAAACATTCAAGGTGAGGATGAACGAGGCTCTGAGCAACCTGATCTAGTTGAAGATATCCTTGCTTATTTTAAGGGTGGGTCAGACCAGATGACCTTTAACGGTCTCTTCCAACCCAAACTATTCTATGATTCTATGATTCATGTGTTTTTGTAAAATGATTCACTTAAAGTGATCACTGATTTTCTTAAGACTTCCTGCTAGAAAAAGGGAAATATGATATTCTGAAATAGGGAACCAAGTGATCAGTAATTCTAAATGTAATAATTTCATCTGAACCTTTGCACCTGTCAATTAGACTTAGAACCTTAATCACAGCTCTGCTTCCTGAAGCTGATTTTGTAGCTTCCTGTAGCTGATTTTTCAGTCAGAACACACAATCACAAAACCAGACAAGAGTAGTTTTGTACTCAGTTGTTGGCAGAACACCGGAGACACAGCTACAAATTTTCACCATGAGAAACTGCAGAAACTAAAGGATTCAGAGCAGTTGTGTTATTCATCCACTGAATATTCTAGTTTGGACATACAGATTTCTCACACACTTGTACTTACCAGGCAGCTGCTGAAGCCCACCATCCTAGATGCAAAATATCTGTTATTGTAGGCTGGGAAAAAAACAACAGAGATGATGTTATTTGTATAAACACCTGCAGACTTTTTAAGGTAATGTCAGTCACCACATAAGGGACTACTGACCACGTAAGCAGAACGAAGTCCAGCTCCTTGCTTTGGTTCTTCTTCGGGATCACAGACTGATTGATAGTCATACGACTTGTTAAAGGCATACAGGGACATGTTAATCAGGTTTCGCATCAGGCCAGGATCAATTTCACCGAAGAATCTTCCAATCTGATAAGGGAGCAAACACAGAAATGTTTACGTATTTCCAGGTTTTTTTCTCGTTAAAAAGTAAACAATTCTGTTTTCCCCACACACATACACTACTTTTTTCCTCTACACTACTCATCTGTCTGTGCTGCTTATGTCTTTATTTCTTTCTTTGACTATTTATCTTCCAAAAGTTGGTTGGAGAACTCCAGTTAGACAGTAACTGTTAAATGCACTATCAGTGACATCACCCTGCTCTGGGAAAAGCAAGAGAAATATAAGAAAGTGGATGTGTGGATGCCATACTTCTTGCCCTCACCATCACAGGTCTATCAGCAGCCTACCTGTTTAATGGCAGAGCACAAAGAATACAACTTGGTAGGAGTATGGCACCTTGAGCCATAAGTAAAACTGTGAAAAAGACTTACAAAATAACTTGAATTTCTGATACAGAAAACTTTTTGTGATTCAGAAATGTTACTCTTAGGGTAAATTGCAAGTGAACTGCTGGTTTTTTTCTCTCTTAAAACTTCTCCCTATTGTTTTTCATGTTCTGTCCTTAAAATTATACATACCTGTTGTGTATATTCATCCCGATTTGACATCAAAAGAAATCCACCATCGTCAAGGATAACACAGTCCACATGCTATTATAAGAAAGTAAAATATATTTTAAAGGAAGGATTTGTCAAGACAACACTCTGTAAGAACCTGTTTTTTATTCAACACTTCAGAAATATCTTCAAATCTATGTGGCCCAGGCTAAATCAGAACCCCATAACCAAGGGCCAATATTAAGCTATAACAAGTAGCATTATCATATTATAAAATTTTGTACAGATCAAAGGCTTATTTGTGGCTTAATTTCATAAAAGTTGTTTTGTAAATTCTTATTTGCTCAATACTTTGTTAGCTCTGAGTGCTACATACTTGTTAAATCTGATTATAATTGAATCTCAACTCATAATAAGGTACTATAACTCCTCATGTGCTTCAGCCATGCTTCAAGTCCTTTTCCATTTGCAGCTTGTAATGGTAAAAAGCTTTAAGGGCAGACTCTCAGCTTGCTAGTCATGATTATTTTCGCTTGCCAAGGACTATAATGGGTTTCTTCCAGGTGTCAGGTGCAGGAGCCCGCTGGTTCCCTGTGCTTTGCACTTTGTAAAAGATCCCAGCAGTCAGAGATTGGAGAGATAGCAGTGCAGCCAAACAGATAACCTCCCAGAGCACCCTTTTAGCTACAACCTCACATTTAATGATCTTCACGCTTCACAAAAGAACTCACAGAAGACCCAAGCAGAGAAAGCTTTTAAGCACATGGCAGAACCTGATACTGTGATAGCCCCTGAAGCTGTGCTCTCCTGAGTGCTAGCAGAGCTACGGGATCCCCCAATCCTGAATGGGCTGGGAACAGAGGAGAGGAGGATGACTAATGACCGTTGAAGGGCATATCACATACTCTGGTGCTTTTCAATTTGCCTTTATCTTCTCTGAGGCACTTCTAGTGCTCTTTTTCTCAGAGTTTTGTTTTGTTTATTTGTTTTTCTTTTAAATTATTCCCTTTCCTCAGGATTTGCCTCTTGCATTGAAAATTACCTTATATTTTTCTTACATTTCTCTTCACATCATCCTCTATTGCTCTCACTTTACCTTTTTTCTTCCTTCTAGTTCTCATAACCTCATTGCAATGATTCTCACAACAACCACTTCACCTGAATTTTATACCCTTTCACCCCTTCATTTCCTAATCTTAATCTCTTTCTCAAGACATAAATGATTTAAGTCCTGTTTTCTGTAACATTAACTTTAAAATAATGACAGAATTATTGCCTTAGATAAATCTAGAGAATAATTTTAGCAATCTGCCAGATATTAATAAACTGAACATATTCTTACCATACTGTTCCTCTCACAGCCACAGATTTCACTGTTGCACTAGAAAACGGAAGTACAGTAAAATTCACAAAAATGTTTCAATAGAAGCCCTATTTTACACTGATATTAATCAATTAAGACAAGAAGTTGATTTTCAGTACCTCTATATTAATTTAAATTAATTTTGAGTGTATGCAGTTTATACCAAATACCTCTGTGAACAACCTGTACTCAGTAATTATCAACAGCACAATCTCTACTGTCTTTCACAAAGTCTCAGATACATCTCCCTTTTTAAGTATGCTTAATATATTAGAAAAAATAGTTTGGAGGACTTGTCAGGATGTCACTGTTCTGAGTTTCAGAACATTTACGTGTATTTGGGGTATGGAAAGAAGGCCTAGGAAATATATTGCCAAGTATCTTTTTCTTGATCATTGAAGGCTTCACCTGTCTCAAAGCATGGGAATCCCAAGTGATAAAGGAAGCCCACCATCACCAGTTAGGTTTTATGGGCTTGATTACATGTTCTCTTTTTCTTGCAATATGCGTATACAGACCCACATAACTGTCTCCTTGCATTATGTCCTGAGCAAAACAGCTACCAGACAATGCTGCAGTCATTCATCTCAAATTAATTCTGAGATATTCCTCTTTATTTCTCTTTTCAGCTATGTATTTTTGTCCTTAACTGTTCTGACATTTAGGCAACGCATTTGCCTACCCACTGAACTACAGCTTTAATACCAACAATGGACACTGTTCTTGGTTCCCTTAATACAGGACCAACAAGCAATATTGACTCATCCAGTTGTTCTGTAATTGTGTTCATTTTGTGCCTCTCCTTTCCCAATGTACATTAATGCCTTAGTTTTTCCTTCCCCTTTACACCTAAGCATTAGATATAAGGAATGAAAGGGTCATGCACTTATTTTCCTAAGTTCTGCAAAATTGCCATGATGTTGGTTGCAATACAAATCCTTACTGTTCACTGCTTACCCATTCTCCATATTAGATAAAAATAGATTTACCAATTCTTTTGCAGATTTAATTAATTGCTACAGCATAATCTTAGTAGGGAGCCTACTGGCTGGAATATATAATTTTTCTTTGTCTTTATCCATGTTCTATAATTATGAAAGCAAGACGTACAAAATACAGCCTATTTCAACATAGATTTATTTTGTGCATTTGGATGATTTAAATACCACAACTACTTGGCAACTACGCATCAGTGTGACTCTGGCACAAAGAGTTATTAGACCTATTTGCATCTGAAGCTTTGAGAAATGCAAATTAAGTTCAAAAAAGACTTGGTCAATTGCTTACCAGGCTCTTGATTGTGGTTTTTGTGAAATTTTCCATCCAGCTGGTTGCATCAATTTTTATTCCAACAACTAACAAGAAATACATGAAAGTCTTTTTTAGTAAAATAATAAAAAAAAAGGTAGCTGTAGAATCCTAAAAAAGGGAAAAATTATAATAACATTTAAATTATTAAACTGGAAAAGGATAAAATATGATTTGTGCTCAGTTGTCTGACCACCAACATCCTTTATGAGACTAATAAATTAAGCAGTCTTTCTCAAACACAACTAGATCTTTGGCTTGATTTCCACTAGCAAGATTAAAACAGTTTCAGAGAAAAGAATGTTATATGAAGTGAAGTTCCTTTGAAATCTCAATTAAATTTCTAATTCACTGTTGAGCAACAACCAAATAACTAATGTTTTTAGATTGGTCTCTATCTTACCTGCTGGTTTCAGAAGCTTCCCATTAATTGTTATTTCCACAGCCTTGCTCACCATAATACCTGTTTCATAGCTATTGGCACCACTTTCTGAAAGTGTAGAAAGGAAAAGAAAAAGGAAAAGAAAAGGTTAGGGTGATATAACCTCTGAAACCAAAATTAATGATTATTCAAGTATCCAGAATGATTCAAAAAAACCCTTTTTCAAAAGCACTGACCCAGCTGTACTGCACATTTATCACCTGTAATAGCTCAGATCACTAACATCTGGAAGACTAAAAGGAATATTTTTGTTTAAGTTTCTTCATTCACTTTTTGTACATGGTTTCACTGCTTCATAAAGTTACTGTAGTCTTTTTTTTTTTCCTGCAGACAGTGCCATGAATAACTTTACTGAGCAGCTCTGGTAAAAGCAGGATCTGAGCCAAAGATTTTATCCTGCTGTCGTCTGTGTATTTTTCAGTGCAGGGTGTACTGACACCACTCACTAACCAACAATTACTTCTCTGACAGACTTTAGCCTGTTTTCAACACTGCTTGAAAAAGCATGAAAAAAGTATGAAAAAGCAAGTTAAAAGTACATTCCCTCGAGCTCATGAGGAACAAGAAAGGCTTCAGGGAATATAGTTAATTACCTTCTTAATATTTCATTAAGAAAAGATGCAATAAATAAGTATGAAATAACAGCAATAAAAGATCCCATATGTTTAGGAGAGGAGTGTGTCATTTGTGGTAGCATCCGCTTTTTAAGATGAGCTTGGCAAAGTTTACGCTGCTTACGTTAGTAATGAGCACTTATTATTGTACATATTTAGGTTTTAGATATAATGGTATTTTGGACAAATTGGTTTTGGTGAATAACAGCAATCTGAAATAGAATTCAAAAGCAATGTTTAAAGTCAGCAGTGGTGCAACGGACTTTGTTGTTGTGGACTTTGGACCCTTGTACCTGCTCCCCCAAGTTAGGTTTGGTGCTGAGGAAGTATGAAGAACTCAGCTCAAGTAAGGATTTTTAAGGTAACATAACTGTCCCCAAGTGCAATATCCTTTCACTTCCTCTTAAAATAATCCTGCCAAAGCATCTCTGTAAAACAGTGGTTCAGTATAATAAATGAATACAGAACTCCACATGTTTTCATCTGTGTCAATTCTGAGCATATAGGGCCTCTGTGTTGATAAAAACTATGGTGTCCCTTGTTTAGTGTCCTCCTAGCTACCACTTCCATAATAATGGGTGACATCCCAAGACTTTTTTCCTTATGAATTGTCCCACTTGCATCCTTTGTCAGTGACCTCAACTGGTATGGGAAACTGCCACAAGTACTCTTACATTGTACTAGCTAGCTCTGACATTTCAAAACAGTGATGACTTACTGTTGTAGTATGGAGCTGTGAAAATATAGTTGTCATTATCTAAACTCCGTTTATAGAAGCTGACTTCATAAGTTTCAGCATTTTCCAACCAATCTTCTCCTGCCCTAATCACACACAGGAAGAAAAAGTGATCAAAAAAGGTAAGTAGAGTCTCATTACAGTTGTGCTGCAGAATTATTATATTTTTTTAATGTTTCACAGTCAGAAATAACATGAGATTCACTCATATAGCCCTGGGACTTTGTCAGATTTCACTGGTTAACTGCCAGGTGTAATTATTAAAAGAACTTTGAAAAAGAAAAAAAAGAAAATAGTATTCTTGGAACAACATGGATCTTGTCCTACCATTTTTAGACATATTGAGATAAATATAACTGCAACACTACTTACAACAAAATATAATCAAAACTTTACAACACATGTTAGTTCTGGAGAAATAATAGAATCATAGAATAGTTAGGGTTGGAAAGAACCTTAAGATCATCTAGTTCCAACCCCCTGCCATGGGCAGGGATGCCTCACACTAGACCATGTCGCCCAAGGCTCTGTCATTCCAAAAGTCTTTTTTATTATTAACACCAAAACAGGGAAAAAAAAATATTCAGGGAGTAAAATGCATGGGCATGTTCCCATTTTTGGGAAACACAGAATAAACTAAGAAAATAGATAAATTTTCCATTTGCCAGTATAGCTATACTGGTGCCCTCGTTATTCCCAGTCACTGATGGGGATGTCTAGTTTATTATAAGATAACTTTCACATTCCCATTTAGGCCTCTGGTAATGATACATTTTTCACTCTTGAAGTCCCTGGACCATTTGGTCTGCTCTTAATTAGTCTAAAAAATAAAACATCACCTACTGCTTTACAGTATGGGCCTGCCAAAAAAAACTGAGTGCTTAGGAGTAATTAGGGATTAGCATGGCCCCACTACTACTACAAGGGCACTGCTTTTACTGCTACTCTATGCTGATTAGAAACTTGGATTACAGTGACCTGTTATGGAAATAATATTACAGATCAGTTTCAAGCAGTGACACAGGAAAAATCAAAGCAAAACAAGACATTCAATTCATTTCATAGTTATCAGTACAGACTAGATTGTGGAAGTTGTTTTTCATTCAATAAATCCATTATATAGCCGTCAAGTCTTTCAGGTTTCAAAATGATGATATTATACTATTTTATAGTATTTGTTACCTTTTTGGGAACACTCTAGTAATTCCACCATCTGTAACAACAAATTGTGCAACAACGCCATCACTGTAAATAAAAATAAGATTTAAAATTAAAACTGACTATAATTATCACAAGTTCCTATGTGAAGGGTTGCCATTTAAGTGCATAACTGTGAATTAAATATTTATCCTGTGTAAAAATTAACTGTATATACACATGCATGCATATTATTTTATTATCAAACTTTGAAATGCATAAAAAAATCACAGTCAATAAAATGAATACTTACAGAGACAGTTTACTCCAATATTTTTGGGCAAGTTCATTTGTAAATCCTGCATCCAGCAAAACTCTAATGACCATATCAGTATTACCTATCAAAAGAGTTAAGACACACATATGACGTAGAAATCCATAAAATGGCTAAAATGAAATTGTGAGTTATTGCGATTCTATAGCCAGAAAAATTTGGCTATTCCTGTTGGACATACTGTCTAACTTTAAATTATGTCAATCACTTACCATTAAATAGATTGCTCTCACACTGTTGACTTGACTTAAACTTTTCCTTCACTGTGTCCTAAAAGTCTATCTATCTTTGTGCCATAGTAATAAGAAAGGTGACAAGGGTCTAGGTCCCAGCTTTGCAAAGCTCCTGTGTTAGACTTGGAAATGAACCTATATTTAAAGCATGTTTTCATTCAAGCACTTTTTATCTATCTATCTCAGGTGATGCAACAAAACATTTAGTTATACATACTCTTACATGCTACAGAAAAAGGAGATAATTCAACTACAATATAATTATAAATCACTTAAGTCCCAGCCTCCCAACAAAACCTATTTGCCTTCTGAAAATGGGTGAAGGGAAATAAACTAATTTTGAATTAGTCACTTAGATCAGTATGTCATTTTTAAGTATAATTGCAAAGATGGTTTGAAGTCAGTGCTTCTCAAACATCTCTTGCCAAATGGTACTGAAAAGAAAGTTCTAGAAATGTTCAACAGAAAGAAGCAAGGACAAAATTTGGAGGGTCTTGCTGCATCCACATTTTTCTAGAAATTAAATTGATATTCTATATGAATAAAAATATCAAAACATGTCTCTCAGAGTGATATTTATCTCTGCTAACATAAACTCTTAATATTTTGTTTGGTCTATTTTTTGTTTAGGATCCCCTTGTGCTGCATGCTCCTCCACAAAGTGAGACTTGCTTACTTACATGAAGCAGATGTTGAAGACAAGTAGGGTAATCACTTTTACTGTCCCCTTAGTGACAACAGAGGTACCTGTCTGACTTTCTGGCTAACATCTAACAGGTTACCGTTGGATGAGGTGAGTCAAAATAGAACAGACATTAAACTTCTAGCATATAGATTATTTCTATTTGGGGAGTTCACTAGTTATTCCTTTTGAAAAGCATTTTTAGCTGAGATAATTTCCATAGCCACTGTTTCCTTTAGTCAACACTGTTTACTTATTCAGGAGACTATTTTTAAAGTAACTTAAGTATTAGGAAAAAGAAGGGAAAAAGTGAAATTGTTGTGGATTCCAAAAGTAAATATAGCAATAATTTGACAACATTTTGGCATAATTACTTAGTAGGCCCTAGTGGATACTACAATAACATTACATGTGTTACACGTGTACAATACAGTATTTGTCCTCAATATTTGCTTAAACTAGCGAATATCAAACTAGAATTTTAATTTATTAACTAATTTAATCAGTTGAGGTGAATGCTTTGATTTCCAAGATTGAGACAAGGAACTCAATTAAGATTCTGGACAGTCAGCAATAAGCCAGTGAATAAGATCACTCCATTAGGAACACCACCACCCACACATGCACACAAAAATAGACTTTTGTGAGAAAGCCACATATCTAAGCACACATTCCTTCAGTTACATGGTCTGATTCAGCAGAAAGACTTAGTGATCCATGACAGTGACATTTTAAAAAGACTCAGGGAATGCAAGGGGAAAAAAGCTTATTCCAACTGTTTATAAATTATTAATAATGCAAAACAGACTGGTAATGCATAAACAAACAAACCCAACCATTGAATTTTTCATGAGAACACGACTTTAATGAGTTACTTATGGTTCATTCAGAAGCATTAACTCCTTTATTCTAAATGGAGTTTAAGGCCTAATTTCAGAATGTGATTACCTTCCCAAAGGCCAGTGCTCACCACTGCAGCAGTTACATGAATCTTTGGTCTTGAACAACCCAAGCCTAAATGAAATCTCTAACCAATTTGTGAATGAGAAACAGAACATCCTTATCTTTTGTTCTGGTTATTGGTTATTTTAGTTCTCAGCTCCTTTTCTTTACTTATTTACATATACTGACAAGTAAGCAGACTGAAGATGTCACTACAAGATTTTAAAGTCTATCTGAAACTTATTTTGGGTGATGGGGGGTTGGAACTAGATGATCTTAAGGTCCTTTCCAACCCTAACTATTCTATGATTCTATGATTCTATGTACTCAAGAGAAAAAACCTACAAATTCAAAATATCTGGAGTGTATTAAAATGAACTAGTAGTATTTGCTGCTAGAAGAGAATGCTGAGAGGAACTTTGGAGAACACTGGGCATAATGCAATGCCCTGCAAACTTTCTTAAATAAACCTAGAAAACTGCAAACTAATTTTACAGTCTCTGCCTTGGGTAGAAAATCCTGACACTAGGTGTATTTCTACTAAAAAAGAATAAAATATCAAATCAGTGAAGGTAAAAACCAAAAGCACATGATTTGGCCATGAAAGTTTTCATTTAGACGAGTTCTCATTTACTAGTATTTTCCTAAGATTAAAATTGAGTTAATTGAGAAGAATACTTACATGATGGACTGCTTGGAGTATTTCTGTCAATAAATTCATTGAAATTTAATAGAAATTCAGTGTTGTTTTCTGATTTTTTTACATCACTACAATATTCTCTGAAAAACAACAGAACATTAGTCTTCTCAGATTTGTTTCATCTGCTACTAAAGCAGAGAAATATGGCTTAGCAGTTTAGAAGTCCAAGTAGGATTGTGCAACTGTCAGGCTGGCACTACTGCATCAACTGGCTACCACAGCCAATGCTGAATGTTGATCATACTGAATACATCTACCATATATTAATATCTACAAGAAATAAAGTGTTCAGGTCTCTGCCTATATCTGATATGTATGAGACTGGGCACAGATTCCCAGAAGAAGTACTCAGGACTAGTGTAGACCATGAAATTAGGAGATTACAGTCTGTAAAATAAACAAGAAAATGGCCAGTGAATTTAGACTGTTCCTGGGTTAAACTGTACTGAAAAGTATATGGACTGCTGATTAAAACATAGTCACTTCATGCTCAACTAAAGCTGGATTTATGGAACAAAGTCCTATCCTCTGAGAAGTCTTAAAGGCAATTTTAATCCTATATACATAAGCATATAAACATTCTTTGTTTTGACATATGCAAAACAGATAAACAGTAAACTCCTGTCCTTTACACAATGTAATAAAGTAAAGCAATATATCATTAAGCAATTCATCTAATGCAAGCAAGCACAATAAAAGTCACTGGGCATTTTGAAGGCAAATATTAGCTGGTGAGTGCCATTAAACAACTTTAATTAAAATGTAGAAAGTATTCATCGGAAAATCAGGAAGCTCTGTTTTTAAATAAGCTTTTTGTATTAAATTAATTTTATGAACAAAAGAAGTCTGTTCAAGTATTCCATATGAATAAGATATCTTGTTACCCTTTACTTACTTTACCACGTTCCTGAAAGACTGCAGGCAGAATTCGCCTTACTGTACCAATATTCACATTTTAACAACTTCCATATCAGGCAGGTTCTATTCATGTAGATCAGCCTAACAACTAGAGACTTGCACGAAACTACTAATTGGTATCAATAACTTTAGTCTTTTGAGAAAAAAAAATAAACAGTTAAGCTGAGAATACATTTGAAGATAGAAAACTATGGTTTACGTCCAAATCAATCTATTCATTGTAATCAATTTATTAATTGAAATTTAAAAGGATAAAAAAATTTATAATATAATAAGGAATTCAACAATTTTTAACTGAGCTTGATAGTACAGCAATTCCCTTATTTGTTTTAACTATCGTTTAAGGGGACTCAATTTTTAAGAACTATGTATTATACTATCTTTCCTTTGCAAATATAATTTACAAGGGCAATAAATACTATAAGATTTCACATAAAAAAGGGAACTAATGAACTTACTTGATCAATTTTCAATGACTCCCTCATTTTTTTATGTTCAATGAATGAAAAATTAATTCATCCTTAAGTGATAGAGACCTTTGAAATACTATCTAGAAGTTGGCAAACATCTCAAAGTAAGTATTATGGTACTGATTTTGCAAATGAGAAGCTAAGGTACAAAGTTATAAAGTCTTTGAAGTCGTAAGAAAAAATAAACAGATGTGTGTAAGATTTTCACTGAAACATCAACATCAGATTTTACAGTTCTCTCTGATTAATGTAAACAGTAATCAGAGCATGAAGATGCAATTTATGCTCCAGCAAGAATATTGCTCTTGTAAAACTTAAATTTAATAACTACTCTTTTACTTAATATCTTTTACCTAAGTAAAATTTTGCTGGTCTAGTCCGTATTTTGTAAATGTCACTAATGCGATCTAATGCCTATAGTGCTGAAATAATAGTTATTACTGGGAAATTTACCAACCTTGGTGCTATAAACGTATAGCCAGCTTCATCAAAATGATCAAGCTTCAGTGTTTCTGAATCTACAAAGATGAAGAGTAAACACCAAGTAAGTAAATTGGGCTTTTTGCCATAATTTTTCTTCTCAAAATATTTGACTAGCTTTTGCATGCATCTGTGAATTTAGAAAGAAGTGTTTATTTTGAGACACTTGCCTACTAATATACTGTATACGTCTCAGTATTTCACAGTATTGGAAGAATTTACTTGATTTTTATATACAACATACACCTGGCAAAAAAATGTATCCAAAAACTTACTTAAAGAAGACATTTCATTAGCATGACAACATGAAAACATATGAGATGTTTTCATTAGAACTACAATCTGCTAAAAAAAAATATTTGGGACATGAAAGAACATGAAGGAAAAACCTTCTAGCATTTTTTGCAATGAAGTTTAAAAAACTAATTCATATAAGCATTACTTCCAACGCTACTGAAAATGATGACTTTAAAAGCTGGTGTCACTGAACACTGATAGGACCAGACAAAGAAGGATTAGACATAAGCAACGTATTGAAATGTGCATGAAAACAAAAACACTTCACTTTTCTCCCCTCCCCCCCTTTCTATTGCTATAGTACCAAATGATCATGGGAAAAATCCTGAGATGAGGAATACAGAGGAGAATATCCAGTAGGAATAGAAATACAAGTGAAAAATATCAACTGCAGTAAAGAGAAGGAAATTGAGCAACAAGAATATACTTGCCCTTTTTGATTGCCACTATCCATCAGAAAGAGAAAGCAGGGAAGCAGAAAAAAACAGGGTAAAGCAAAAGGGGTCACAAACCAATATTTTATTCAAACAGCCCCTTGAATAAAAATATTGTGCATAGATAGATCAAAGGTTCAATTTACATACAGCTGTAATCTGAAAAAAAGACAAACATCTTTGAAGACTGAAGAAAACATCCTTCTCAATTATTTCTCAAGTACCTTCTATGTACTGTGGCTATTTCAAGGGTCTGTTTTGCAGGTTGTATTGATATAAGTACAAAACCAGATGATCTATTCTTTCAAAAGAACCATATTCACTCACTAAAAATTTAATTTTAAACTCTTACTATTTGACAAAGTTAAAAAATAAATCACTGATTACTAAATCTTGCCATATTCTACTTCATATGCAGGAGGCAATGGTAGAGGACAGTGATTTAGTGCAAGTTTTCTCTAAACTAACAGTATCTATGCCTGTCAGAGAGATTCACAGTGCTTTTCTAACCTTCCATTTAATAGCATATTTGTTCTAGTTTGTTGTAACACTTGGATAAAGTTAAAAGAATGTGATGGGTTCTGTTTTGTCTATTATCTATATTAGAGTTAAACTACACCTAATAAACAAAAAGCATTTGAATACTCACAAGTATCATTTCCAATTATCTCTCCAGAATCTGCAAATGGCTTGAAATCAGTCTAGTCCAAAAATACATTACAAACATCCACTAAAACTATTTGCAAAATGCAAAATAAAAACCTTGCTTCAAGCCAAACCAAATAGCACTTTTGCATTAATCTATTCCTACAGGCAGCAGAGGCAATTTCCTAAATATTATACTGTAACTACTACGAAAATAACAACACCAAAAAAAAGCTTTACTACTATAGTCTATATTGTGACATTTAACTAATAGAATGTAAAAATAGAATCCAGACCCTTAAAATGACAGCAACAGAGGATACACAAAGCAATGATTCTATAGGCACAGAGCAAGGGGAAAGGGATTGTCAGTGGAACTGGGGTACCTGCACATATTCTATCTTTATAGAATATTTCTTGCACCTTGGATGTTACAATGGGTTAGAATCATTGCTGCAGATTTTGGGTACAACATGAGAACATCAGTGAATTCCACAAAATTTATGAATTTTAAACGCTCCTTTTTTAAGTGCATCTGAGACTTGGCAATAGCAGCCAAAACCAGGGAACCTTCACAGTACTTACATCTGGCTTGAGTTATTGGTTCTTCTATTTTGGCTTTAATATAATAAAAGCTGTATGACGGTAACACCAATGCCAAACTGCAATAGAAATGAGACAAGTAAAGCAATTATATTATCTGCAGCAGTTTTCCAGTTTCAGCTTCTATGTGTTTTGAAAGCAGTTAACATGTTTTGAAGTTGGGTCATCATGAATGAGATGAGATAGATAGTCATATAGTGGCATATTAGCCTCACATTATATAGACACAAGTGGATTCATGTTGGTCCTAAAGCTGCCTGTTTTTATTTTCATTCTTTTAAGCATAAATGTACTTTTTAATAGATAAGCAAGGAATTTAGAAATCATTGAAAATAATAAAAGACACAGTTTCTTGTATCTTCCTCTAACATTTAGCATCCCAATGTAAGACATATCAAAGTGATCACTGACTGCAACAACCAGCATGTAGTACTGCAGTGATAATGACAGAATCTCCTTTCGCTAATATAAAAGCTCTCAGTATTCATTAGGAAATGTATCTGGCAATTCCTGAATTCACATGACATTCAAAATACAAAATACTTTCTTGAATCATACAGTCACCACCAAAAACTTTCAAGATCATTGTCTAATAATATTTGAAGATTTGCAAAGTATTTGCAATGTATTTTCTTTTAGATTATACTTATTTTTGTTCAAAAAATATAGGGATTCTTTTTTGCAACTAAACTCAACACATGTGTAGAAGAGTTCAGTTCTAAAAAGGTATGTAAAGGACAGAAGGCAGGTGTAATCATTTAAGAGGAATAATCATCTCCCATATTGCATCCTTAATTTTTGCACTCGTATTTCATCACTGTAGAACTGCAATGGTTTCTAATGGATAACCACAGAAATTAACATTAATAAAGTTGTATAGTTGAGTCATAAATGAGATGACCTTTAGTGACACATTTGCTATTTAAACAGAATGTAAGCGAGATTCTGAACATTCAGTGATAGCCTTCTACCAATTCTCCTCTTGGGAAATCAGGAGCAGTTTACCTGTCATTAACAGTTACTGCTAGCAGAAATTGGCAATTAAAATCTAGAATTTAATGTTTAAGAGGTTTTATGCAATGTGACTCAATGGGATTTTTGTTGTATCTCATGCCAGGGAGCTCAATGAGAATTAAGTCATATAAATCAAATGTATTTCCTTACTGATAGCTAGATTGCACAATCTGATAAAAACTTTCCTTTCTTACAGACTACAAAGGAAGTTCAACAGAAACCTTGGATGCTGAATAAAAGATCCTACATTTGCATTCCTTGTTAAAACTGATATGTTTGGTTTTATATGCAAATTAACATTGGCATTCTCATTGGCTGTACACCTGTACAGAACATAACTGAAAATGGGAACCAGCTTGGCTGAGACTACTGCAATTCACCACAGTTAAGATACTGTTATGATGAAAATTTGACTTAATATTTGTACCACGTAGTTTTGAACTAGATTAGTTTAATTTGCATGGGAGTTGGACAAGATGACCTTTGAAGGTCCCTTCAAACCCAAACTATTCTATGATTCTACGAATTTTTCTGGGATTTGGTAAACAACTTATTTTGTATAATGTCAGATTTCTACATTACTTTTAAAGCTATGGAGCTGTGTGTTTAAACAAGTTTGAAATAATACACATCCCAATATTGCATTCCAGGGGGAATGTGCTTTTACCCATTACTTCATGTGTTCCTGTCGCAATTCACTGTATAATTTTTGCATAAAAACCAGTATCAGCACTAATTAGTTAAAACCTGACACAAATAGAAATGGGTTTCAGAGAAAATCAGAAGCATGGTTCCTGTCCCTACAATATGACATGAAGGTTAGCAAAGTCATGATATGAGCAATGCCCATGACTGAAAAAGATTTGCACAAAACATGTCACTTTTTTTTATTCAGGCCAAAATATAGCATTTTCCTTGTTAATACGCATATTAAAACAAGAACATGGAGACAATGCAAAGAAAAGATGAACTAAGAGGTGGACTCTAAGAGAAAGTGTACAATTAAGAATAAAATTATACTGTGATAACATAGAAGCAAAAGTAAGATTCTTAACATCCGCCATAAAAACAACCTTTTCCTGCATACTGAAATACCCTAGTGCTAAATCTCAACAGTTGGATGAAAGACTGAGATTCTGTTCCTTAGGCAGAGCAACAATCCTGAGCTATAAAGCAACCCAGAAAATTCTACCAGCCTGGACACAAGACACTGTGGTCCTGACTCAGCTAGTATAGAAAATGTAACGCTAAAAATATTAACCAAAATGAACAAAAAGTAAATTTAACTACACAAAAGTCAGAGAACAGGAGTTACCTGTAATCAGTGCCATTCACAGCAGTCCATGTATATGTTCTATTTCCTTTATCAATGTATCTCTACAAAGGGACAATGATGAAAAAATAAATTAACTTAGGAGCTTGAACAAGGGTGACTTTTTCTTGAGATACACAGTGTAAAATCAAGTACAAATCTGTTGGGAGTCTGTTTATTATTTTTCTAAAAGTATGAGTTGATCTGCAACTCCTTTTCTTAAACATTTTCCAAATACATGCAAAATAATCACCTTTTATGTTTTTTATTTAACATTATTAAAATGCAAATTTAAAGAAAACCAAGACAACATCACCTGTCATTTTCCCTTTTAAATTCAATAGCCAGGCCTATGCACCTTTTCCTGGGTGATTTAAATTAGATAAAAGATATTATCTCTTCTATGCAGTTAAACTATGAGAAGTAAAAACCTCAGTTATACAAAGACTTTGTAGGTAACTCTTTAACCAGAACACCCAGTGGGTGTCCTTTCAGGTCACAGTACCAGTGGCTAAATGCATTTAGATTTGTCTAAATATATATCCACAGGCACAGCCAGGTAATCCTGACTGTACAGGCAGCCCGTGCTAAATTACATGTGTTTCTAATCTCATTAGGAGGGTCTTCTAGCTGCGAAAAATTTAACATTGGAGGAAATGTTTATTTTAAAATAACTTAATACATTAGGATAAGCTTTACCATTCATTTTCTTTTGCTATGAAAAATTATGTGATAGACATAGTCCCACAGTTCCCTAAGGATTTAATCATTAATGCATCTGGTTGACATCATTTTACTCACTTTTCCACTTTGAAAACTACAAGTTTTTGCCAGCTGCAACATACTATTATTTTACAATCAGATATTTGTAAGCATGCCAGCAATGAAGTCTGTGCAGCTGCTGCACTGCAACATTACAAGCATCAGTGAAAGGTACCACAGGTATATCTTTACATGGTTTTGTTCCCTGTGGCAAAATAAAAGCGTGAAAATGACCATGGTTACGAAAAATAGGTGTCTTTTTTTTTCTTTTTTTATATTTATAATTTGAAACCCTCTCATTGTACGGCTGCTGGTTTTTAGTACAGCATGACAGTGTAAAATAACGTAACAGTCATTTTGGAAATAAAAAGAAAAAAAGGTAAAAATAAAGAGGAAAAAAAAAGATTAATATATCAGAGTCCAATGCCCTGAAATATTTTATATTTGAAGTAAAAAGGTATCTGAAGAGAATCCTCTCCAAGCTTATTTATATTTAATAATGTGCCTACACTATTACTTCAGCGCAAGAATCAGTAGCCACTTGAACCTTGTGCTGGCAGTCCTTCCAAATCAGGCACAGTGCCATGGGTTGCACATCATGTACAATGGCAAGGTAAAAACCTCCTAAGGTGGGAGGGAAGAAAGAGAACAACTGGGCTCTTATTAATCCTGTTGCCACCAGAACTGTGAACATGCTCAAAAGCAAACCTCTCTTCAATGATGTCCCAGCAGATCACATGTTCTCATATGTTGTCTCCCATTTACCTTTGCCTCCTTCATTAGTAAGTGGTCTGAGACCATCTCATCCCCAAAGAGCCTACACATGTTATTTGCAGCTTTGTGACCCTTCAGTTTTCACTACTGCCCACCCTGGCTACCTGAATGTGGCAGTACTTTTGTTCCTATGGCATCTTCTCTGTTAGTTGGAAAGCCCCTGAAGCTTTGGGAGACTCCATCCCACCCCACCCACACTTGCTAGAAGTCCAGTCTCTACGCTGTAGTATAAGGTCATCTCCCAAGACACTGCTGGGGCCAGCTGAAATACAAAAGGAAAGCAATGCAGACCTACACCAAAAAGCAAAACAAAAAGGACATCAATTTTAATCCTCAAGACTGCAACTGTCAGTTCACAGCAACCAACCACATCAGCCCTAAAATTTTCTTAAAAATAAGAAAATACATGAAGCTATCAAGCCCTAAGGGATGCATGGCTCATGCATAGCCCATGGGCTGAAGCAGCTTTATCCTGGCTCTAGCAGCCTGGAGCTGGGAGGGGGCTATGGCCTAAAGCAGTCACCATCACTAGCCATCTCTGGCTGCTCCTGTCTTCTGTCAGTGAGATCCAAGCAGAGGAAGAAATCCTGAGCCGTGATACAAGAGAAGGTGAGGGAAATTAATTTCATTGGGCACCTGAAACATCTGGGATCAAAAGGTTTGGGGATTTCTATTCAAAATAGAATAGAAAAGAACAAAAATAACCAGACTGTGGTCTGCACCATGCATAACTGATTTATTCTCACGCACCCAGGGATGTTACATTTATCCCCCCGACCTGATGCTGTCGCTGACTCCAGCATTCGCAAGTGTAAATTATTCCCCTCCCTCCCTCTTTGGGCAAAAAGTTGCAGGACCAACCGTTTCAGGTCTTTTATCACACAGCCCTAGAAATGAAAGCCCAGCCTGAGATCTCTTAGATCTCAGTTTCTTGAATAACCTCAAAGGGATTACTGTATTTTTGTGACCTTCTAATCCTCCCTTTTCTAACCACCTACATAGAGCCCTTTTCAACCATAGGCTTGGAAAGGCACTCCTTAAACAAAACAACATAAATCTGAAAACGTCCCAGTGAGTACAGCGAGGATGGTGAAACACTGGAACAGGTTGCCCCGAGAGGTGGTAGAGGCCCCATCCCTGGAAACATTCAAGGTCAGGTTGAATGGAGCTCTGAGCAAGTTGAAGATTTCCCTGCTCACTGCAGGGCAGGTCACACTAGATGACCTTGAAAGGTCCCTTCCAAAGCAAACTATTCTATGATTCTATGTTTTTAAGCATGTTCCCAAAAATTCTGCTGAGTATGGCTATGGCATCTAAGGGTTGTGTAGTGTCTCCTTGATATTATATTTGCTTCATGTTCTTCCGCTAAGCCATTAAATTGGCTATCTTCTTGCTGGTTTACATTGAAAGTAAAACATTTTCAAAAAGCTCCTGTAGAACTGTAACTGTGGGGCATACTCTGGCCAGAACTGCTCCTTTGGACACCAGTCATGATTCTTTTCATTAAGGTCCCCAAGAGGTAGAGCATATATGTAACAATCCATATTACATTTGAGTATTTCCTATTGCTAGGAAATGTGTCTGTCTTATCAGAGAAACTAGTAGCAATCTTTACCAGGAATGAGCATTTTGGACAAAAAAATAAAGAACTCAACATGCTGCTCAGAAATTCCAAGTACATAATATAACTTTAATGTACTTATCCTAAATAGTCTTCGTTTATGTCATATAAATGTTTTTTATTTTGGTTTTGGTTTTTTTTTCTTTCTCATTACTTTCTTCCTATTCAACCGCAATCTAAATTACCAAACCCAGCCTCACACATGTCTGCAAGCAAATTAAGTACTTTATTTTAGGATTTATACACAGCAGTAGGCTGGGACCATTTCCTGGTGAACATAGTGTAAGACCTCATCAACAACTCTGCTTGATTAACGATGCACCAAAGAAACCAAAAAACAAAATAATCCTTCTTTTTGTAAGTACATAATTTCTTTCACTGTGAGCTGGTAAAACTACCAAATCTAGAGGGAAAAATGATATAAACTGACATTACAAAATTAACATCTTTACAGCATTTCACAGTACTTTTCTGGTTTTGTTTGTTCCTGTAAATGTAATCTCCTGTTGCTAACTTACCTCATCTTGGGACTTGACCAGTGTTTCAAATGTTTTTTCTCCACTTTCTCCATCTATCATTTTTTTCCGAATCTATTGGCAAGGAATAAAAAGGAAAAAGAAACAACCAGCAAAGAACTAGGTGCTGCATGAAAATTGAATAATCTTTTCAGTGATTCAAAATAAATCACAGAAACACAGGAAATAGTAATGCAGATGAAAGTCATAGCTCTTCAAAAACAAAACATTAAGTTTACAGTTTTCAGTTCTTTCTAATTGGAAATTGCTTTATCCAAATATGTAATGACTCAGTAGAGTTAAGAAGCAAAAATTCTGGTATACTTTGCATAGACCATGCCATAAAACCCCTTGATGTTGGGGACATCATAGAGAGAGCATGAATTCTGCATGGATGAGGAGTTTTGCCTGGCATTTCTCGTGCTTCCCAGCACACCTCTGTGACTTCGGTAGCTGCAATAATTCATAAAAACATTTTTATACCAGTCCAAGAATAATTCTTCTCTGAAGCAGGCATTGCAAAGAAATTTAAAGCAGACTTTAACAGATATTAAGAAAAGCTGATTAGTGTCATTATGAAAGAACCATTCCAAAGTGAAAAGATGTTAAAAATATGTAAAATGTTTAAAACCCCTCAATTTTATTTCATAAAACTTACAAAGTGGTTTTTTTTTAAATTCTGATTTCTGAATGTATTATGAAATTAGGAACTGAAAAATATACAAAGGAATTGATTTGTTGCCAACACTATTTCTCAGTTCTCTCTCTCACCACAGCAATAAGCCTGTATTAGTAAGAGATAGGGAAATACTTCAAAAATATTTCCGGTAATGTATTAAGATCCTATTAAAAAGTGTTCTGTTCTGAAAAATTTACAAGCCCCCTCCCCAAGAATTGCCACTTAATGAGGAAAAGTTACGTAAACAGCAATCACGGTGTCTTTCAAAGTGAGAGCAACATAATGCATTGCCCTTGCCTATGAATAGTATCACGTCTCAGTTTGTTTAATTACAATAAATTTCCCCACAATTTTATCGTCTTGATGAATTTAAAATTAAAATTTATGGTGAAATAGATTCCCATTCAAAATCTAGAAAATTCATAATTTTTCAGTTATTGTATAGTGAAATACAAGCAGCAACAAGTACTAAGAAACTAGGTAATCTCACCTCAACTTTAATATCATTTTCCAGTTCAGCGTCTAGAAAATCCAGCGTAACAGGCTCCTGGGATTTAGGATTCTGAAGCAGAAGATATTGGATGATCAAATAATGGCAGAATAACATAATGTCACAAATCATTCTAAACCCTTCATTTCAGAGTATCTGGGCTTACTTACCCATCTATTTTAATATCTTATTGCATGATGAATTACTAGTGGCCCTTTCTTATCTATTTTATTTCATTGGATGGAGAAGTTAATTGGGTGAAAATCAAATCAACACTAATGGCCAGTTTCCATCCACAGTCTGTCATGTATGGGGCTCATGCTGGGAAGCTGCTTGTCCTACTGCTGGTATGCCACAGACTGTAAGGGTAGAAGAAGATGTATCAGAGGAAACATCAGATATGAACCTCTTTTCAGGTGTCCTGCCTCCAAGATGGAGGGAGAGAGAAATTTGGGAGAATTTTCCAGCTAAGTATGGGGCAACTATACTCTTTTGTAATTTTAGTTAAAGTGGACTACAAACTTGCTGTTATGATGTGGGAATGGAAAGTGGTTCAAGATTCAAAATCACTTTTGATGCCAGCATTATAGGACTTCCCTAAACATCTTGCAGTTTTGAGTGTGCTTCTCTTGACATCAGTACTGTTATCTCAATTCAGGAGACAGAAACCTGTAGCACAGAAATACTGCAGCCCAGCAGCTTCAAGGCCTAAGGAATGTATGTGATGTTGACCCTCAGCTGTGGAGCACAGAGAAGTTTGTTTGCATCTGTAGTCCTCCTGGTCCCATAGGAGTGTGGGAAGACCACTGTAGCTGTGCTGAATGAACTCAGACCACCCTCCAGTTTCTGCTCCTTTTTCAGCTGCAGTCTGCATTTACTGGGACAGAGCCATCCTCTGTACAAGTTGTTAGGAATCCGACCATATTTTTTTTCTTGAGTAGTTTTGGCTAAGCCCCACTGACTTTATATTACATGTGGTGTAAAGTCCTCATCACTCAATAGTTATTTAATGAACCCACCTAACAAGGATCTCTAGAAAAAACAGTATGGGGATATATATTATATTATTTAACATTTTAAATCTGATAGTTCAAAATAGAAGATTAAAAAAGTCCATGTTTTCCCTTTTTTTTTATTGATAATAATTTACTTTGTGCAATAAAGTACTTCATACACGAAGGATCTCAAGGCCTAGTATTCTCAGTAACTGAGCATCGTTTCTCATTTGAGTAGCAAAACAAAAAATTGTCATTAGTGGATGTTATTATTATTTCAAAAGTATTGTAGTTTCTGATAATGACATTTTTGGGTGATTTCAGTGATTGTGGTGTAACAATTTATTTACAGGGTAAAGTCTCTTCTTTCAAAATGCTTATTGTACTCATTCTATCCTAACATTCTCTAGCAAAGTTACATGCCAAATGTACATGTACTATTCTATAAAAGAATGCAAGCATGTTTCATCACAATTTACGTATGCATTTCCAGTCTGTACTGGAAGAAAGTGACATCCTGAAGAGCTGGTAAAAGATGCCTTCATATAAGAACTTGGAGCCTTAAAAGCTTAACAGTAGCTCTTATTTTTGAGACTGTAATATATAGAATAGTAATAGAAGACGAAAGATTATTAATTCTCTTTCTTGAGAAACAAATGTACATGTTTCTGGGTGTATGGAATCATTCCTGTTCCTAGCAAGTAAGACTCACTATCTGCTACGAGAAAAGCCAATAAATTTATTCTCAGAAAGAGAATACACATTGGAAAGATTGCAGGTAAAGATTCTGGGTATTTCTTTTGAATACCTATTGATAACTTCAAAGAAATTTTTATGTTCCTATTTATATGGGATAGATGGAAGTAGCAGCTTTCAGATAATAGCATTAACATATGCTCTCTACTAATTCAAAACAATTTCATTGTTACGCAGTTGCTTTTTACCCCCCAACAAATCCACACACTTGAAATAAATAGCAAAAGGCTAAAATGTAAAAATAAATAAAAAAATATATTTTCTTACATGCAATGGATAATGAATAGCATGGTCAAACCCAAACAGCATGCATGAAGGCATTGGCATGGCAGAGGAGGCATTTGTGAAGTTCAAATTCCATTCCAACACACAAAGAAATGAAGAAAAGAAATGGTAAAAAAAGAAAAAAAAAAAAGCCATCACATCAAATCAAGGTCGATATTCATTTAAAATGATAACCTGGGTTAGCATTAGTTAAGGAGTCCCAAAGACAAAACAGACAACTTTAACAGCCCATCAAACCTCAAGTATACGTTGCTTGTTCTTTTTTAAGACATAAGTTATATTACCAAACATTATTTATAACATACTTACTAATGACTTCTAATAGATAAGAGACTAAGCATGTATTGATGCATTATATGATGTGCCTGAGGCACAAAGAAATCCATTATAAATTAGAATAGAAAATTCCTAGCCCCGTATTTTAAATGGAAGGCTATTTTCTCAGCTATGTTTTTTTCCCCCAAGAATGTGTTTTTACCAGTATTTGGGCTCCATAATTTTTTCTTCCAAGGTTGCCATTTGGTGGGGTTTATTCCAAGCCATGAAGAAACAAACTTACTGTTCAGTTTGCTCTTCTCTTTTCCAGTCATGCATGTGACATGACTAGAAGAAGCACAACACCACCACATTCACCAGCACAACTTAATAAAACAAAACAGAACTAAATCACTATCAATGAAGCATGCAGATAAAGGGAATGCAGTTCATTTCAGCATGACAAATAAAGGCAAAGATCTATAATTTCAATGAAAAATCAAGAAGGAAACAAAGAAAGAACTGGTGCAGCAACATAAAAGATGTCCATTAAAATGTCATTATTGTGTGTTTTGGGACGTTAGTATTCTCACAGAGTCTATGGAAGGCCTTTGCTGAGTTGCAAGTTCCTACTCATACCTGCAGTCCTAATGAAGACATAGGCTGTTAGGGTTTTAAAATAAATGATGGTAAGAATGCAGCAAAGTCCTGGGCCCCAGAGGGAAACCCAGGAGCTACTGGAGTGGGTGGGAGCCCAGAGCTTTTCCAGTTGCACCTCCCCAGGCAACCAACACAACCGGGAAAACTCAGCACCAGTTGAATCATACACAGCACACTGAGGAGCCAGGGGAACTCAGAGGTTTCTATATCCCAGTGCTGCTGTCTCCAGTGCGCAAACGAAATGTCTAGCCCAGAGATTGTCTTCTACACATGGTATAAATGCAGCCACTTGTCTCTTGGTGAAACCACTGAACTGAATTAGATAAGGATTTTACACCGTATTTTACTAGAGTTGTTATGAAGCCACCAGTTTTGCATTATATATTACAGTACTTGTAAGAAATTCACACAGAATCATAGAATAGTTTGGATTAGAAGGGA